AAAGAAAATGATTCAGATGACGTGAATGCTATTTTTCATGATCATCAAGAGGAGATATGAGAAAACTAGAAAGTAAATGTTTTATACCACTTAGTAATATATATTTATTCATTTTTATATTTATATTTTTTTTGTTAAAGATTTAATGTTATTGTTATTGATGATCCAAATTGGTTTCAAATGTTGTTCAAAATCATAGGTGCGTAACGACCGATGGCAAATCACTTAAAAGAACTTTTGGAGGGGCCTACAAGACTTTGAATTTTGGTTATTGCTTTTGTTGGTTAATAATTTGTTTTAGTTTTAATTTTTTTATAAAATTATAAGGTGCGTATGCCATTTTGCTTTTGCAAATGGCATAAACAATGAATATTTTTTGGTACAATATTTCTGTTTGAGAAATGGATAAAAGGTACAATGTTTCTATTTTAAAAATGACCAAAATATGATTTTGTAATACATCTTCAAACCAAAATATAGAAAAATAAAAAAAAATTACATAACAATGATTTCCCCTTGGTTAATATTATAAACCAAGGTAATAATACTTCTTTATTACCTCGTTTTTCAGATAACCGAGAGAAAATGTGGGGTGCGCCAACCAGTTATGAAAATAATAAAAATGTATTTGTTGGAGATCGAACTCATGTGCATAACACTTTACCCATAAGTTATTCCATCTTCCTCTTATGAGTGTAGTTTGATTGTTTTTGGAGCTTGTTGTACTCTTGAATGGTATGCCCAATTATTTAATAGTTGTGGCAGAAAGATGGAATTATTTCATATATGACTTATCCAATTGAGAATCTATCTCTTTCCGCCATCAACTCTACATATAATTTTTTTCTAGGTAAATGTCCACCAAAATTATAACATAGTGCCCAGATAGCCTTTGCGTGGTTGATTCAAAGAACCTATTGGCCAAGCGAACATTTTATCCCTCTTTAATTTAAACGGAAAATCCAAATAGCCACCCCATAGTTGTAATACTCCAATTATACAAATTAATCCATACCTTATTTAGTTTATCTTAGATTTCCTTCGATGTAAGTGGTTTCTCCCGCCTTTTCAATTATGGTTCATCTTTAAAGGTTGTATTGCAGTCCTCTAAATCTCTCTCATACTGGTCTTGTGGAATTATGATATAGAGAGCTAATCGCCCTTCATGCATGGCTTGGGGAGGTTCGGGATGCTTGTCTTTGTATAGTGCCTGGGGAAAAATTTCTAGCACCAAACTAATTTAATGCTTTCAATGTTTGATGTACACTTTTGTGGTCAAACTCCGTTCAAGATTGAAGAAGATGGTGAGGCCACGCGTAGACACATGCATAGCGATGGCGGCGTTGGGGCCATGATGCCCTACCCCTATTGTGAAATTGTGTTTTAGAGGTTAAGCCTCATCTCTCAAGGACATATCTATGTGGTGATTAATAATATAAAACCTATGAAACCTCTCCCTGAGAGGCGTGGTGCCCATCCAATGATCGTACCAAAAATAAGTAGAAAGACTTGACCTCATTTTCCTCCTAATACCATCAAAGAACCATTTTGAGGGGTCCCTTACTCTATAACCAGGGAGATATACACCTTTTCAACCATGAAGTGGAAGAGTGAAGATTAGAGGATATACGCCCTCTCAAAGACTCAACCAGTTGGGCCTCATACTTAACAGATATAACATCCCTCCACACCCCAAAAGAACCAGAGTGCAACCCCTAATGCCACTTAAATAACAAGGCTAGATTAAGAAAACAGAGGTCTCAAACACCAAGTTTGCCACACCTTTTAGGCTTCTTCTTAGTTTCTTAGCTTCTTATTTGACTCCCCTCCCCCAAACACAAAGTCATCCACTCATCTTATGTATACCAACATCCGACCAACACATCCATGAGATCTTAACTTCCCTTTTGACCATCCTCATACACCATGTCCACCACACCACATAGGTTTACAAACATTCGAAATAAACATCCAAGAGATCTTAATTAACTTCTCATTTGACAACCTCCCCTCCCCCCCTCCCACCTCCACCCACCCACACACACGCACACCCACCTTCCTTAGAGTGTTATAATCTTATTTCACATGTAACATGTATCTTAAGGAAGGAAAGGAAAAATTGGAATGAAGTTCAAGAATTCAACATAGCCATCTGTTGAAGCAATTCAGCAGCAAGCAAAAAATATTAAGTACCCAGTTTTGTCGTCTCCACAGGGATTAGTGTGATATGAACGCCGTTCAACGGCCTCTACATTTCTAAGCTTATTATTCAAAAGTTTTTTGGTTTAAAAAGTTCAAGGAACCGTAAATAAAAACATAAAATATAAAATAAAGACTGAAATATAAACGGAGCCTTGTTGGGATTGGATTTCATCAATTGATAACATATGCATTCTTTTGATCAAGTTAAACACAACGCAATCATTCGTCTGATACCCTTACGTATCACCCACGGTAAAGCTTATCTCTAACGCAACGTCGAGAGAACAACCGTGTTGTCTCATTGGTGATCTCTCATCCAACAAAAATACAACACAGAGCATTAAGAGCTGATACTCACGCAAATGCTAAGCCTAAACCTATCTCTAGCATTTAGGACCTAACATGTAATCATCCTAGATCCAGATCTGAAAAGTATATCTCTATCACGATTCAAATCAAAGATAAACAGGTCAACAAAGACGACACCCATATCGGATAAACGATTGTTTCACATAAAACACGATGATTAGAATACGTACACACGCTTAACCCTTTTTACATGTATTCATCTAATCTGCCAAATGGTTATGAACATAATTCTTCATCACTATTATCACATACCCACACAATATCATATTGATCCTACCCATGCTACCCATGATATTTAATCAACATAACACCATAGAAGATACAATGAATATCAACTTCAAAACCATGTCAAAAGTTTGTTCAGTGATAGAAGAAAATCTGAGATCAAAGATGTGAAAAGGTTTTGTCAAGACCCACAAATACATAATCAAATATAATCAATCAATAGAGAATCCAAACTAGTTCACAAACATAAATTAGATGAAATACATAAGGTATCAAAAGATTACATCCAAACCCCAACAAGAGATCAAAGATCTTACCTCCTCCCTCTTAGGGTTTTGTGTTCCTCTCTCTAAAATAAATGAAGAGAGATAAGTTATGGTGTATCTAATGTTACAATATGGAAATATGATCTAAAAAGCAATAAAAACACTTAAATAACCCATTCAGGATCTGTCATGTTCGCCTAGCGAGCAACTAGCGAAGCCTTCGCTCTGATTTCGCCTAGCGAACTTTTGGTCCTTTCGGTTCTGTCCAAGTCTGGGAGTGTTTGCTACCTGCTCGCCTAGCGAACTTTGCTAGTTTTCTTCGCTAGAGCTTCGCTACCTGCTCACCTAGCGAACATGACAACATTTTGTTGTTTGCATGCTGTCTTGGTTTCTTTGTCATATTTCTTGTGTCTTAATTTCCATTTGTTTTGTGCTTAATTCCTGTACAATAGCACACAAATCAAAGGTACCAAGAGATTTTCACAATATATTGCAAGCCAAACAAAGCAAGAGTGGTTTTCAACACTTTCTTAACAAAAATGAGTGAAAGATGCCAACATTTGATAGATCAAATAAGTGAAATTTGGCATCTAACACCATCCTCCACCCAATACTAACAAACCTATGATGGAAGAAAGCAACCTTCTAAAAAGGATAGAAACAAAAGCCCCCAAATAGACTCAAGATAAGGATTAAGTCCTGCATAAAGACCAAGATATTTGAAAGGGAGAGTCTCAAGCTCACAATAGATGAACTAAATGACTACATCCAAGAAATTATGATTTGTAATCACTCCGAAAAATCTACTCTTAACAAAATTTATCCAGAGTCCCAACGCAAGCTCAAAACTCCGGAGATTAATGAAACTCAATGCATTTCCACAATTAAACTAAATTAATAAATTAGATTTTTTAAAATTTTAAGAGTGTTAGATAAATGTATCTCTTTTTATTAAGTTTATATTTTTTAAAATGTTTAAAATAGATGATACTTTTTAATGTTCTTTATTTTTCAAAAAATTACATAGAAATATTGATAGTAAGTTGTGTCTCATTTCAATAGAAAAACTTGATCCAGCCTATTTTTTAAGTGGGATAATTGGGATGGACAAAAAAAAATTCCAATTCTAGTTGGAATTACATTTACAGTCCAACTCATACTAAAATATGGGCTATAATGATAACCAGATCCATTTTCACAGCTATACACTCTACTCATAAAAAAATACTAAGATTTATGTGTTTCAGCCAGAAACTACTTCAAAGAAACACATATACTATGACTTTAATCTAATTCTTACTCTATTTTTATAAATAAATAAATAAAATACCCTTCAAATATAATTTATTCTCATATAGTCTAGTATTATATAACAAACCTTAATTTTTCTCTAATATCATATTCAAACAGCAAAACAAAATTCATCTCAGGTACTTGTGCATGGATTATATTCATAATATTAAGAAGTTAAAAGCTACAACATCAAGCAATTCATCAACCATGCAATTATTAACAAAACTTCACACAAAAGATAGCTGTATCAGCCACCACTTTTGTTCATTGCAAGATCTTATAGAATCTAAGTTGCTATATATACACAACATAGAAAACAAATCACTGAATATGTCTGCAAATTTTCAATATACCTTACATATTCATAGAATGCTCCGAACCATATAACCTTAATTGCACCAAATGTGTGCCTCACACTACCCTCCATTTCACCACACTTATAGCTTTATCCTCGTAAACCAAACAAGAAAAAAAAGTTGAAAATTTTTCAACCTATTTCTAATCGTAGAAACTAGACTAATTATATTTTCTATTTGCTAATTAATCACTAAGTAAAAACTCTAAAACTAAAAAAACTATATAGATATGAAATATTACATGAAGTTAAATATATTTAAATACTTCATGAGAGAATAATTATATATATTAGGATGAAGAAACACCAACACCAAGAAAATCAATGAAAGGAACTTCTTTATGCTGTTCAGCTTCATGATGATCTTCTTGCAACTCTTTCTCTTTAGAAGAGTTTAAGTTTGTGACTAACTTCGACGATTTATCGCATAAACTACTCATCATATTCGAATTCCTAATCCTTCCATCGCCATCAGAACTCAAAAAACTAAAAGGACTTGAAATAACTCTCTTGTAGCTTGGAAGATTTGGACAAATTCTGTATAGAAATGATTTATCCGAGCCTCTATAAATATTCGATCCTAATTTCGTAATCGAATTATCCAATACAATAGAACTAGTAGTAGTAGTTTTTGTTGTCGTGGATGGTACCGAAGCGAAATTCCATGAAGCGAGAGAATTTGAAGAAGAAGTAGTATTATCAAAGAATTTTCCATTCTCATAACCAATATTTCTTGTTGTATAAGGGAAATTAAGAATTGAGGAGTTATTAAAAACTTCTTGAAAGGTTCTTTTACCACATAACTTAGATTGTTCCCTTTGTTTTCTTGCCATAATAACATGCCAATGATTCTTCACAGCATTATCAGTTCTTCCTGGAAAAAGTCTTGCTATTAGTGCCCATTTGTTTCCGTGAATCCGATGCGCCGCGAGTAGTCTCTCTTCTTCCTCTTCTGAAAAAGGTCTTCTGTTAATTCTTGGATCTAACTGATTGAACCACCTTAACCTACAACTTTTCCCTACAAAAATAAAATAAAAAGTTATTTTTTAAGAAAATTTTGTTAAGAAAAAAAGAGCCATATGCTTTACCAACAGAAAAACTCTATATTAAAAAAAAAAAAAAGAAAAATTATTAGTTAGTTTTCTACCAAAAAAAAGTATGTTAACTTGTTGAGTTCTACATGATGAAGAGATCATAATTAAGTATATTAATTTTACTAAGAATTTGAAAATTTAATTAATATTATATATATACCTGATCTTCCTTGGAGTTTTTCTGCAATAGAGTTCCAATTTTGAGCACCATATTGTTCAACAAGTTGGCGAAGCTTTTCATCTTCAGCCGGTCGCCAGTGACCGCGAGGACAGCTTTTGGTGTCTTCAGCAGGTGAAGAAGAATCATCCATGATTGGATTATTAAGGTAGATAAGTAGTTGAAGAGGTTGATGATGATGATATAGATATTGGTTTTGGTGTAAGAAAAGTCTTGAAGATGAAGGAGAGGGGAGAAAAGTGAGGAAGAAGATATATATAATGAGAAAGTGAAGGGAGAGAGAGGGGTTGGTTTAGGGTTGTGGATGGCAAGTCGTTTTTGTTGTCTTCACACGACAGATTGTGCCCTATGTTATTGTACTTAAATACAGACTTTATCTTATGTCATTTTCTTTCATTTCTTTATCAAATTCCTCTTTACTTTTCATACACAAAAAATATTTATTCCTTTATCATATTTTTTGGTCAAGTTAGTCTCTTAGTGCATCTAATATTAGTCTCTAAAAAATGTCTAAAGACAGATATTTACCCTATGTCATCTTTTATTAAAACTAATTTTTTTCTTTTTTATTATTATTATTATAAGTATAAGTAGTATGAAAATCAACACAAACAAAAAAATAACCACCACCCGTCCGACTCTAAAAAAATTCGCTTTCAAAACTACATAAAATAGATCTCAAGTCATTAGAATTACGAACACCATATCAAATACCATCAGAAAAAAAATATTACGGATAATAAATCAAGTATGAGTTGAAGTTTCACATTGGTTATAAATGTAGAGATTTAAATATTTAAAAGTGGGAGAACCCACACACTTATCATCTTAAGATTTTAGATGTATATATAGTGTCTCCCTCACACCTTAAGGTTCGAATAAAGAGACTAACTTTTTTGTATCGAAATGCTTAGGAAGAGGTGTCCCGTTGAAATCGAAATGCTCAAGAAAAAGTATTTCGAAATGGCCAAGATGAGGTGTCAAAGTCAGTACAAGTGTATGTGGACAAAAAGAATTTCCACTTGTGAGGGAGCATTGTGGACTCACACTTGACGAAGAGTGTTAAGGTTAATAAGTCAAGTATCAGTTGGAGTCTCACATTGGTTATAAATGTGTAGACTTAAACATTTATAAACGAGAAAACCGTGTGTTGCTTTTGACCCACATTGATGCTTCTTCCATTAACCCAACAAGAAACACCCATACATAATGTGACATAATATCTCAATTCGCTATTGGTTAATTGAAGGATATGATTTTGAAATCATTATGTAAGCTGCAAGAGTTCTCCGCTGATTGCCCTAACTAACTATTTCCAAAGCAAAAAAATACTTTTCTCCTCACATCTTTCACGTTTGTTTTAGACCTGAAAAACACGACCTTATTTCTAACCTTTCAAATAGTTTAAACCACTATATGTCAAATCATAAACAGACTCCCCCTTAGTTTCGCTCTACCACCTAACGAGATGAAGCTCTCAAAAAGACTATTTGAGTCCTTAGGATAACTATCTATCAACTAAACCAACTAAAAATTCTATAGTAGACAATAATAACTAAATCACAAGTGCTAAATCAATCGTCATGTCGAGTGAAACATCACAAAAGGGACACAAAGTAATTAAAATCAGGATCGACAATTACTTTTTTCTTAAATAAATTATCTTTTAAAAAAATTTTATCAAGAAGAAGCGGACAGAAGAACACACCCAAAATATGTCTGACTTAAGAAGTTAAAGAATATAAAACAAATATGAAATAAAATAAAATTTATGCAAATATTGAATTTTCTCTTAATGGACACTCATTTCTTTCACTATGGGCGATTTTTAAATTTATATTATTCTAATGAATTAGCTAGAGATTGGAACATTTATTTTAAAATAATTTATAGATATAATTTTGATAGAGTGAAGTAGTAAACCATCTCTTTGATTGTTTTTGAGTTTTGATCAAAATCATAAATATAAAAAAAATGTTTAGTTTAAAATATTAATCATGTTCTAAACCTAAATAGTTTACTAAAAAAGAGAAGAACAATAAAAAAAGACTAACTCAAGACTAAAAAACAATTAAAAAATTATTTTGAAAAATAATTCGTTTTCAAATTCCATCATTTATTTCAAAAATTACCGTAGCACTATATGTTAATCATCAAATCCATTTGTTTGGTTACCGTATAGCTTTTACTAAAGGGACATCTCTCCTTGATCATAGACTAGTTCATTTCTCACATCACATAATTGTGACCTTAGCAAAATATTGAAGCAGTTTCTAAGCAATATGGCAAAGTTGTTGGAGAGTTATAAGTCCAAAACTATTATTATTATTATTATTATTATTTTTTAATTTTTTTTATTATTTTTTATCTTGATATATTTTGGCTATTTTAAAATTAATATTAATTATACTTATAGCGTTATTGGAATGATATTCACATATATTTATAAGCAATAATGCTATAAATTTAGTTGGCATTAAATGAACTTTGCTCTTTTTGGCTCATCCAGCTTTTAACTTAAAAAACATGTGTAGTAGATGAAAATCAACAAATGATATATTTATTAATCAATGCAAAAGATAGCTTGCAAAACCCAAAGTCATCATGCCCTAAAATGGAATCGTGGCAGTAACAAATTTGGTGATATAGGTACGGATACATATACTAAATATTGTCGATGAGATAGCTGTAAGAGCAACTTGCTCACAATTTTCAACACTTTTGTTAAAACTACTAAATATGTATTGGAGTTTCGTATTTTAAAGGGTCGTATACATCTTTATATGTATCTGTTATATTTTTTGTTTATGTGAGATAGTTTTTAAGAGTAAGATTCAAATTATGTAAGGAATAATGAATCAAATATAAAATACAAGGGAAAGGAAGATCAAAGTAAAGATAACAAGACAATCAAATGAATCGACACATATGTATTAATGAATATTTTAATATAGCGTTTTCAAACATTTCATAGGTATAAATTAAAGAAACAATGTTGACGAATAATAAATATGAAAAATAAAGGTCGGGATTCCACAATAACCTCACATATTTTACAAAGGATTTAATAGTTGTGGATGTTTAAATAGAGAGTATTTTTTTTAAGATCTCAGGTTCGAATTTGAATCATATTAAGTGTTAACAATCTTTGTGTTATGACACTCTATATAAAACTTTAGTCTAGCTTTAAACGGAACTCTGGTTAGTGAACTGTGAGATTAGCCATCTTAAATTAGTTGATCGTAATGTTGGATACTAAGATTTCAAGAAAAAAATATTTAAAGAGATAGGAAACAGAAGTCCACTCGGTTATTTAGAAGTCTTTTTATGTTAATTTTTTTTTAATATTAGGGGTTTGTAAGGTAGGATTAATAAAAATAAGTTGAGGGAGTTTATTTTGTCTAAATTCTTGATTGTTGTCGCGATCCAAAAGATGAAGTTTACTGAAGTCTCTGACTCGGTTGGTTAGTTCCTGTGGAACAATTCCTTTTGTTACTGATATTTTAACCTTTTGGTGGATAATGGTGGTGGTATTTTCTTGATCTAGTGCAATTCGGAGGGTAGATCCATGTTACATTACTTGGGTTCAGGGTTTCACGGTGTTTTTTTAGAATGGGGTGCTTTTAAGGTGATTTGCTTTGTAATTAATGTCTACATTAAGAATGCCTTCGAAGATAAAAAAAATATGTGGGCCGACCTTTTATCTACGTAAAGACACTTTTGGAGGAGATACCTACTGTGTTTTGAGAAACTTCAATTTTGTCTCTTCTAATAAAAGTATAGAGGGAAGTGGTTCTTCTAGGCCTTTACTAGTTTTTTTTTTCACATATGAATTTAATTGATTTTTCCCTATTAAAAAAAATTCACTTGATTACAACCTAATGGAGGGGCAACTAGTAGGCTTGACCAAATCCATGTGTCTAATGGATGGTGGTACCATTGGGAGTTGTCGTCTTAGTCGGACCTTCCCATGAATGTTTGTGATCATTTTCCTATCGTTCTCAAGTATTATGATCAAGTGTGGGGTTTCGAGCAATTTAGATTCATTATCATTAGTTATCTCAGAATAATCTATGTGCATTGGTTCATATCTTCAGGTATGATTCTATGTGTCAATTGTTGGAAAGCAGAGAAACTCAAGTCTCTCAAATCTGTCTTAAAAGCCCAAAATAAACAGGTGTTTATAAATATTGATTTCCATATTAAGTCTGTAAGAGGGGCCGTGAATAATTTGGACTCTTTTGTTGATTAAAGGATTTTATCTGATGAAGAGATTAAGGTTAGGACCAGAGCTATTGCGGATATCTGGTTCTTATTAATGGTCAAAGATTCTTAATTGTTTAAAAGATCTAAAGTTAAGTGACTCAAAAAAGGTGATGTTAGTTCTAGTTTTTTCACGCCTCTATAAAATAAAACAAGAGTAGGAGGAACACTATTTTAGCCTTTAAGGTTGGCGATGGTTGGATTGAAGGGTGCCTAGGAATCAATAAGAGCTTTTTAATTATTTTTCTAATCTTTTTAAAGAATCAAATCCAGATATACCCCATCTTGATATAGTTGTTTTGCGCTTTCTTTTTTATGAGGATAATCTTTCCATATTGCTCTTTTGCTTCTTCAAGATTTAGATTAGGTATTGGCTCAGTGTGATGGTTATAAGAGTCATGGTCCCGATGGTTAAAATTTCACCTTCCTAAAAAGGTTTTGGAAATTTTGAAGGAATATTTGAGGATTATGTTTGATCAGTTTCATTGTTTTGAAATGTTACCTCGTAGCTTTTCCTAATGCTTTGTTACCTTCATCCCTAAGGTTAAGTCTCCACTGCTGCAACTAATACATTTTATGGCAATGCTTTCACCTCACCCAAAAAAAATCGAGGTACAATTCCTAGACGCTCCACATTTTTTTCTTCAAAAAATACCATATATTCCCTCGGTTGAAGTACATCACTGATGAGTAAAATAATTTAGGATACATGCTTTGAATCCCAACAACCACAGTTTATGTTTTTATTTCTTTAAAAAGTGGCACCTTTTTTATTTTATTTAATTATAAAATATTGTATTCCATCAGTTACTTTAATAACTAAGGGGTATGATACCCAGATTTAACTATAAAATGATTCTTTCACTAAAT